AAAAAAAAAAAAAAAAACAGCCAAAATTGGGAAAAAAAAAAAAATCCAAATGAGAAAAAAAATTAATCGGGAAGAATGCCCCCTTTTAAAATGGTAAACCCCCCAAAAGCAATACAAAACTGTGATGAAAGACCACTTTTGGAAAATGTTCCAGTTCGCAGTTCACCCCTGTGCCCCGCTATTTTGAAAAAAATCCACTCGTGCAATAGCCACATGACGTGTACGGAAAGCGGGGGAAATCGTCTTGTACAAACCGGAACAGAATTAAGCGCTGTTAAGTTTAAGCGGGGTTAATTGAGACTCCTCCACAATGCGCCACACCACTCCACATGCAAAAATGCGCAAAAGGACGAACGAAAAGGCCACAACCTCTTGCACCGCCTAACATGCGCCCCCTCTGTGGCGGCCCGCTTTTCGCCCCATTTGATTAAAATGAACAAATGGATACATTTTCCTCACAAGGACATGTAAAAACGGGGGACTCAGTGCACACATTGTTCAGCACAAAAGGGGAGGCCTGTTAAAGCAACTTACATGTGTAAGGTGGAAGGCAAACGGTACGGCAAATGACATGACAAATGGCATGACAAGCCGCATGCCAAACGGCTACGCATCGCTTACGCACTTTAGACGATTCGATTATTCACGACACATGGCCTTGTCGCGCAACGAGCCTCATTTAGCAGATCGACGTGGCAAATTTTATTCTGCACGAATTGGTATGTGTATATTTGCACAACCTTATGCACGCGTGTGTTTGCAAAAGAAGCTCGTGCACCTTTATTTATAAGGTGGAAGCATCCCACTTTTGCACATCGAAAAAAAAAAAAAAAAAATAGCAAAACAGTAATGAAATAATAAACCTCGCCCCCACGGACAAAATTGCTGCAGCGAAAAGCGACGATTCGGGCAAATCGTGTCACACGACATTGCGTGCACGAACTGGTTCAATCCTCTGCTTTGTTCTGCTTTATTTTGGGTTACTTTTTCATTATTTTGTGTTATAGCTCCCATCGATTCGATGAAATCCTCGGAGACATATTGCACTGAGGAAAAAAACAAAAAGGGTTGTCCTTTTTCTGTGTTTTTTTTTTTTTTTTTTTT